AGGCTGGGGATTTGCAAAATTTGAACTTCCAGCTGGGGCCAAAGGCAGGGGTGCACATAGACTTTGTTATCAGCCTGTCCAGATATGGGTTCAAAGGGGAAATGGGAGGTGAGACTTAAAATAAATTGGAGGTCAAACATCAAAAAATAAAAAAGTGCAGTGAGACCCTGTTACAATTCCTGACTTTGGATTTTTTTTTTTAATTTCTTTTTCTTTTCTTTCTTTTTTTCTTCAGATTGGATAATCTTGTTTGATCTATCTTCAATTTTGTCGATTATTTCTTTTGCCAGCTCAAATCTGTTGAACTTCATCAGTCAATTTTTTATTTCAGTAATTGTATCTTTCAAGTTGGAATTTCTATTTGGCTCTTTTTTGTACTTTCTCTCTGTTGGTATTCTCTATTTGATTAGTTATTGTCATCATACTTTACTTTAAAAGTGGTTTCTTTTAGTTCTTTGAACATATTTATAGTAGCTGCTTTGAAGTCTTTGTCCACTAAGTTCAAAATCTAGGCTCACCCAAAGAGAATTTTTATTGAAATTGCTTTTCCCCCCTATCTATGGTTCACACTTTTCTGTTTCTTTGCATATTTTATGATTTTTTTTGTTGTTGAAAACTGGACAGTTTTGGTAATATATTCTGTATTCTGATTCCCCTCCCTGCCCAGAGTTGGAGGTTGTTGCTCTTTTGGTTTATGTGACTTCACTGGACTAATTCCATGGAGTCTATTTTTCCTGCAGTGTGTGGCTGCTAATGTCTCTGCTCACTTCTTTTCTTTTTTTTATTTTTCAGCCTGTCTTTCAAGTAGTTGTTCCTGGGTCACCATATCTTAGTGGTCAGCCTGTGATTGGTCAGAGGTTGTGTTTAAATTTCTTGAAACTATGAGGCTTCGACCCTTTGTCAATGGTTCTTATTTGGCTTGGAGAATGTGTTCAAGATTCAGGCAGTTTACACGTCCACCCTGGGTTTTACTTTCTATGTTTGCAAGGCCTCACATTTCTTTAGGGACGAGTAGCTCACTGCGGCCCTCTCATTTCTCTCCTTCTTGTTTACAGTATTTTACATGCAACAGTCTTCCATGCCAGCAGGAAAAAGTAGATTCTTAGCAAGGCTCACTTTGGATGTCTCATTCCTTGGTTCTTCATGTTAAATTTCTTGTTGGTCTGCTGATCTACTGCTTGCCATGACCGGTATTGCAAACTTAGGCTAACTGGGATATTGACCTTCCCTGATTTTTTTGCCCCTGGACTCACTATTTTTGACAATGCCCCTGGAGTGGAATTCTCCTTGTTAAGTGCCAAGTAAATTTAGTTCCCTCTGGCAGTGGAGCTGTCAGTCTTCACAGCTTGCCCTGCCCTAGTAGGCCTTCCATACCAAGGAGTTGGGAGTGAGTGTGGATGGTAGGAGCCCCAAGCTAAAACACCACACATGTCCACTGTTCTTACCAAGATTCAGTAGATTTTCTTGAACCAGGACTTCTCAATTTGTTTTATGTTTTTGTCAATATCCAGATCTTGAAATGGTTTTGAGAATTGTGTCTAATTTTATTGTTTTTGTTTTGGAGAATATATTTGTCACGTTCCTCATTCAACTGTTCTGGACATTCTTTCCCCTGCTTTCTCCCTTTTTCTCTCTCCCTCCATTTCTCTCTCTCTGTCTCTCATTTTTAAACATTTAAATTTTATTCAAACTGGTATTTATTCCAGAATGTGTTATGAAGTAGGGATCTACTGGCTTTTTTTTTTTTTTTTCCTTTTTGTCTTTTTTCGTGACCGGTAACGGGATCGCAACCCTCAGTGTCACGCCCGTACCGCGACTGGCAACGGGATCGCAACCCTCGGTGTCGCGCCCGCACCGCGCTCAACCAGTGAGCGGACCGGTCTCTATATGGAATCCGAACCCTTGGTGGGAGCGCCGTCACGCTCCCAAGCGCTGCACTCTACCGAGTGCGCCACCGGGCCAGCCCATAATGGCTTTTTATTTTTAATGGTGTTAAGTAGTGTCTTGACTATTTGTTGACTAATCTATGTGTTTCTCGTTGATGTGTAACATTATTTTTCTAATTTCAGTGAGATTTATTTTGATCCCATCCTTTTTTTTTCTTTATTCCATCAATTATACCCTTTTTCACTTGTTTTTCCTATCTCTTGCTTTCCATTGGCAGCTTCTTCGTTTCTGAATTGTCTCACCCTTTTCTCTTTAAACCAGTCTTTTGACTTTATCTCTTTGGGTTTTCTTCACTACGCAGGCTCATAAATTCCATCTGCTTTTGCTACTCGTAAGGGCTGAGACTAGGCTAAGACCAGTGAGACGCCTAAGGCACAGAAATTCTAGGAGGCTCTCACTCTTGGGTCCTGCAAGTGAAGGACTAGCACTTGTAAGACTTGTTCTGTTTCAGATTTTGCACTCTAGGTGCCTGGCTTGCCCCACCATAGTCCTGGACCTGCTACTCGTACTTCTCACTAGTATGTGTTTCTTGTAACCTGATTTCTGTCCCAAATGGGCTTCCTTTATTCAAATTTCAGAGCACCTCCTATGCACTGTGCTTTGTGCTAGGTTTGGTGAATATAAAGTGTCTCAAGACACCATTTCTTTCACTCACATGTTTCCTTCAAATTGATTCTTTCTCAAGTCTAATCCCTTTTCCCCATTTTTCATTATTCCTGTATTTTGTACCATGTGATATTGTTGACTTTTACTGCCTGTTCATCCTAAACCTAGCCCACCTCATAATGATAGCTATTTCCACAGTAGGACACCATCTTTAGGAACCAAAGGGCAGTGGGCAGTATATCAGTAGCTCTTATTCTAGAAGTTAGTGAGGACTGGAAATTGACTTGTACTTTCAATGTGTCACGGTGGGGGTGCCCAGGATTTCTCCAGGGTTTATGGGCCTTCACAAATATGTCATAGGGAAGGGAAGATTGCTTATTCATTCCTTGTCCTAGACTGTCCTTTATATCAGTGTACCCTTTCTTGGCAATCTCATCATTCTTAAACGCTTTGGGCTTTTAATCTTTACTCAAAAGGCTGGCTGATTTCTCTAAGTTGTGCTCCAATTTTCAAGGATCTGGTGGATTGCACCTTGTGGAGATATGTGATACCCCAGGAAGAATTCATCATCCTCTCTAATGTAGTGATGTTATCATCCCCTGGTCTCCTAGCTGGAAATCTCACACAATTGCCATGTCCTTGCTTGCCTCCAGATCTGCCTGATTGCCAGGTGGTGCCAGTTTGTCATGTGTAATACCATGCTAAGGGCTCCTTCTTTTCAGTGTCTGCCTGTACAGCTTGAGTTTGGGCCTGCCTTTCCTTTCACCCACCTGTTCCGGTTCTCTCCTGTGGTGCAGCTGCCACTAGTCTCTCTGAGTTCCAGAGGACTCTGAGTGCTGTGCTAGGTTAACTTTTCCTGAAACATAACTCTGATTGCTTGTTCTTCTTTTCTGCTCATTCATGCTTCAGAAACTCCTTAGTGCCTTTGAAAAACCGGGCTGGTGTTTTAGACCTTCCAACTTGTTTTAATTTCCTTGCCACTGCCTTTCTTCATATAGGCTGGCCTCTCTCCAAGTGGAATTGATGTTGCAATAACCTTCCTGTGTTTTTCTATTTGCGTCTCTGTTTTTGTTTCCTTCTGCCAGCAGTATGCTTTTCTCACATTCTTAGTTCATCCTTAAAGTCTTTCCTAAAGTTCTCTCGGATTTCCTGACCAGCGTACTCTATTTCCCTCCAATCATATGTATTTTTATCTATACTTTTAAAAAATGTAGTGCTTATTACTTACCAACTTGTATCGATTGTCTTTCAATATGATCTAAAGAATGTAATTAACCTTTGATGCCTGGCTGAAGTATTTGTTGAATTAATGAGTGGATGAATAAGTTTCTGGATTAAACCCTCAGATGGTCTGGACTCTGTGTGCCTTTTGCATTCCCTTGCTGCTTGTGTAAGGCCATTTCTTTCTCTCCTTTCTTGTAATTGGATTAATTTTATCTCTGAATCTCTTCATATATCAATAAGCAGTCTGTGACACTTTGTCTCTGTTGCTTCTCCTGGGTTAGTATTAATTCCAATTTAAGGAAAAATTACATCATTTTGGTGAAGGATGTGTGTGGGAAATTTAGAGGAAACTAGTGTTCAGAATGACATATTGATTCATTTTATGGGAAAGCAGGCTGCCTACCAGGATATGGAAATTTGCAAGTATAGACTTGACTCCTGGGCCTGTGGCCAGCAAGAGACAAGAAAGTAGAAGTTGTGATGACATGTTCAGTATCCAGGTGTCAGGCCAGGGGGCCAGCTGCAGAGCCTCACATTCCAGTCTGCTGATCCAGTCAGCTCCTCTTGTATTCTTAGAAGCAGCTGTCTGAGCTTCTGATCAGACAATTGGTTTGAGGAGATGGCAGGTAAGAGTAGGGGAATAGATGTCTAAGTACAAATATTGCCATTTTTTGAAAGCTTGTGAACCATCTGGAGTTTCCTGCATAGTTTTCGACCTCAAATTATGGCGATGAATTAGGTTTTGTTGATGAATTCTAAGGAATTGACTTATTTGGTTTCACAGAGTTACTGTACATTATTTGTCCAAGGTTTAAACTTAGTAAGTGCCACATCTTCAGCCCTAGTTTAGTACCTATTCCATTACAACTTTTAGATTCTAAGTCTTCATACCATTTTTTCAAAACCACCTTTTCTCCTATTTCTGCACATTTTACAAACTGAATAGAACTGTATAATTCCTTATTTTCCTTCTCATTGCCTCATTTGTGGAGATGTTTAGTTGAAGTGGCCCAAAGGAGCAGTCTAGTGGTACCTGGGAATGTGAAGGCCTTGAAAAGAAATTGGGGACAGATGGTGTGCTTGACTAACTGTCCAGGAGAATGTGACGGCAGGACCAGGTGGGGCACTGTATTGCCTTTGCCATCCAAGTTTTAGGTTTCCAAGAGGACAGAGGAGGCTACAGGTTAACTGCTGTCCAGTCACCAGTCTCTCTTTGGTTTCAGCTAGTTACAGCTGAGCTGCTTACGGCAGAAAGAAGGCTGAGCTGAGCAGTGGAGGCTCCCCTGGATCTGGAGAGAAGAGGCAATCTTGGAACCAGTAATGAGCCATCCTGACTACAAGCTGAACCTCCGGCCCCTGGGGACCCCCAGAGGTAGTGAAAGGAAAATGGAGTCTGCCCAAGCAACTGGAAAACTGAAATCCAAGAGGAATGGGTGTGGAGGGAGGGCGGCTCTTAGAATAGAGGGGGACTATAATTCTTTTGCTGACCTGTTAAATATTCTCCTGTGTTATTTATTCTTGAATTAGGTGTGGTCTTTTGTTGTCTTCATTTATTATTATATTGAGTACAGATGTTTAATTTTAGAGGGGGACTATAATTCTTTTGCTGACCTGTTAAATATTCTCCTGTGTTATTTATTCTAGAATTAGGTGTGGTCTTTTGTTGTCTTCATTTATTATTATATTGAGTACAGATGTTTAATTTTCTACAGAAAAGTGACTTTCTTTTAGGAATTCCTATGCTTGAAAAGTTTGTGTCTATAAACAGCAAAGCATACTGAATCCGTTATCCAGGTTATTTTCCTTACATGTTATGGTGCTGATTTAAAACTCATCTCATCTATGTGCATTTTTTTCATGTTTCCATACTCATTCTTTCCTTTTTGTAATTGTTTGAAATCAGGAGTTTCATTCTCTCGTTAATCTTTCTAAATAATAAAAAAAGATGTAATGTCTCTAGTTTTAAAAATACAGAGATGTCCAAGGAAAGATTGATTGCTGCCTCATGTTCCTAGGTGTGTCCTCTGTGGTTGGCCCACATGGTGTTGGTGTTTCGCCAGGTGACAAAAAGTCAAAGAGCAAGTCCATGCGAGGAAAGAAAAAGAGCATATTTGAAACCTACATGTCCAAGGAGGATGTTTCAGAAGGCTTGAAGAAAGGAACGCTTATCCAGGTGCTTAATACCTACTGGAAGGCTATTCCCTGAATATGTAGAATTTGAAGTAACATACTATTCATTAAACAATTTCCTGTTCTGTGCTTTGTGCTTTGGGAGAGATGATGACATAACAGACATAGGGCTTACTGCTTCTTAGACCAAAAGTGCATTTAGAAGTGATAAGCACTACAAGTCAGGGACTGGCAAAGTACCCTGAGATTTGAGAGGAGGGAGCCATTATTTCCAGTTTGGCTTGCCTAGGGATGCTTTATTGGAAGAGATATATTTGAGTCAGGCCATGGCTTGCTGCAGTTTGAATAACTGAAGATAAGAGAGAGCTTTACAAATGGAGGGACCAGGGTGAGCTACTAAGACAGAAGTGGAAAATAGGGTTTGGATATATGAAACATTGAATAGTTCAGGTTGCCCGCAGCATGTGGAAGCTGAATGACCAAGAAAAATGGATAAGGTTGGAAAGGAAACAGTAAACAGCAAAAGATAATATTTATCGAGTACTTTGTAGTTTATGAAATATGTTCACAAGCTAGTTCAGCAGTTTGGCTGAGCAGATGTTTATTGAGCATCCACTGTGAGCCAGGAACAGTTGTGGTTGGGAGTATACTGCATGAGTACTCTAGAGACCAAGGTGGATGAGACTGCCTTTCTGAACTGAAGAGCTTGCAGCCCAATGTGAGGAGGCAGTTATGTGAACAGATGATTTGGGGATAAAATGGCAGATGCTCAGATAAAAGGGTGATCAGGTGTATGGGACAGTGTTGGAGGGAATCTGGGGAACTGTTGACTGAGGTTCTAGAGAGGCTTCCTGTAGGAGATGACACCTGTGATAGGCATTGAAGGAAGACTAATTTGAGCCTATTAGATGAGTGATATGCATGTGGGAAGGAGGTACGGAGAGGCAGTGGCATTAATGAAAACATGACTTGTGAAACAGTATAGAGTAAGGCAGCTTAGGTCTCTTTGGGCATGAAATATAAGGCAGGTAGTAGGTAATGAGGCTGGAGAGGCAGGCAAGGTGACATATCCTTTGAATTAAGTCTATTTCATTATTCTTGGATTAGTAAAGAAATATTGCCATGTGCTACTTGGCTCACTTGAGTATGTTGACTATGTCCCATTTTCTCTTATTCTGAGAGCCCAGCTTCTATATTTATGTTTTTGGCTGAAAATCCATCTAATTAACAGATACTATCATTTTCTTTTCTTTTTTTTTAATCACCTTTCTATATTTGCTTGTGGTCAAGTGCACATGTGATTGATGTAGACTCTTGAATGGAAAACTGGCTTTTAACAAGCGAGTTGATCTTTCTTATTCTAGGAGTACTGTTATGATTCCCCTTGATTTTTTAAAAATTTAATTTAATTTTATCAATATACAATGTAGTTGATTTTTGTGTCCCTTTACCAAATCCTCCTTCCCAACTCCCACCTCCATCAACAACATATCTGTTCGCTTGTCTTAACAAGTTCAAGGAATTGTGATTGTTGTGTCTTCTTCCCCACCCCCCATTTGTTTGTGTATTTATTTATTTATTTTTAGTTCCCACAAATAAGTGAGAACACGTGGTATTTCTCTTTATGTGCCTGACTTACCTCACTTAATGTAATTTTTTCTAAGTCGATCCATGTTGCTCCGAATGGTAGTATTTCACTCTTTTTTATAGCAGAGTTGTGGTATTACATTGTGTGGATATACCACATTTTCCTTATCTACTCATCTGACAATGGACATTTGGGCTGGTTCCAACTTTTGGCTATTGTAAACAGTGCTTCAATAAACATTGGTGTATAGGTATCCCTTCGACATGTGATTCCCATTCCTCTGGGTATATTCCCAGCAGTGGAATAGCTGGGTCATATGGTAGATCTATCTGTAATTGTTTGAGGAAACTCCAAACCATTTTCCATAAAGGCGGCACCATTTAGCAGTCCGGTTCCTTTTTCTCCACAACCTTGCCAGCATTTATTATTCTCAGTCTTTTGGATATTAGCTGTCCTAATTGGAGTGAGGTGGTATCACTTACCATCTGGTTTTGATTTGCATTTCCCGAATGCCGAGTGATGTTGAGCATTTTTTCATGTGTCTGTTGACCATTCGTATATCTTCCTTTGAGAAATGCCTATTCAGCTCCTTTGCCCGTTTTTTAATTGGGTTATTTGCTTTTTGCTGTAAAGTTGAGTTCCTTGTATATTCTGGATATTAATCCTTTGTCAGATGTATATTTTGCAATATTTTCTCCCACTCTATTGGTTGTCTTATAACTCTGTTAATTGTTTCTTTTGCTGTGCAGAAGCTTTTTAGTTTGATATAATCCCATTTGGTTATTTTTCCTTCCTTGGTTGCCTGTGCTTTTGGCATTGTATTCATGAAGTCTGTGCCCATTCCTACTTCCTGGAGTGTTTTCTTTAAGGAGTTTTGTTATATCAGGGTGTATATTAAACTCTTTGCTCCATTTTGAGTTGATTTTGGTATATGGTGAGAGATATGGGTCTAGTTTCATTCTCCTGCATATGGATATTCAGTTTTCCCAGCACCATTTGCTGAAGAGGCAGTCTCTTCCCCAATGTGCAGATGTGGTGCCTTTGTCAAAGATCAGATGGCTGTAGGTGTGTGGGTTGATTTCTGGATTCTCTATTCTATTCCATTGATCTTTGTGTTTGTTTTTATGCCAGTACCATGCTGTTTTGATTATTATATCTTTATAGTATAGTTTAAAGCCAGGTAGTGTTATGCCTCCAGCTTAATTTTTTTTGCTCAGAATTGCTTTGGCTATTTGTGGTCTTTTGTTATTCCATACAAATGTTAGGATAGTTTTTTCCAACTCAGAGAAAAATGTCATTGGAATTTTGATGGGGATTGCATTGACTTTGTAGATCACTTTCTGTAGTATGGACATTTTCACAATGTTAATTCTTCCAATCCAAGAGCATGGGATATCTTTCCATCTTCTTGTGTCCTCTTTAATTTCTCTCAACAGTGGTTTGTAGATCTCTTTGTAGAGATTTTTCACATTCTTGGTTAACTTTATTTCTAAGTATTTTATTTTTTGGTGGCTATTGTAAGTGGGCTAGCTTTCTTGATTTCTTTTTCTACATGTTCGCTGTTGGAGTATAGAAATACTACTGATTCTTGTGTGTTGATTTTGTATCCTGCAACTTTGCTGAAATCATTTATCAACTCTAGGAGTTTTTTTGTAGAGGTTTTAGGCTGTTCGATATATAGGATCGTGTCATCTGCTAATGGGGACAGTTTGACTTCATCTTTTCCAATCTGGATTCCCTTTATTTCCTTCTCTTCTCTGATTGCTCTGGCTAGTACTTCCAACACTATGTTGAATAGGAGTGGTGAGAGTGGGCATCCTTGTGTAGTTCCTGTTCTTAAGGGAAAAGCTTTCCCCATTCAGGATGATATTGGCAGTGGGCTTATCATATGGCTTTAATTATGTTGAGATACTTTCCATCT